ACATTAAATCAAAGTATTCATTCAGTCTTTATCTTGATACCTTATAGTTGCAGATGGTGGTGCACAAACTTGTCATTTTTATAACAACTTGAAATATTTCACAGCCCAGAATTAGATAATTGGAGCAGGTTTATCAGGAGAGTTGGTGTTCTGGAGACCTTCACTGCTTGCTTCTTCCACTTCTACCATCTGTTGTTTACAGATATACAAGTTTTTTTTCCTACAGAGTTCACCCAAGGCATTGCCTTTTGGGCTGTATACTATGCAGTTTTTTGGAGTTGCCTTTTGAAAGAATGGAAATCTGTAATTAAAAATAAAAATGTTAGCATATGGGAGAAGGCAATGAAAATGTTCAGTTATATTTCTTATTAAATAGTTGAGCTTTTCAAAGCATTTGAATGAGACCTTAACACACTGAGTCATTATATTTTTTGTTCCATAACCAGTCTTAGCAATTTCAGAATGGAATATTGCTAAATTTCAGTTATTATCTCTATACTAGAACATAGAGTTCAGGGATTTTTTTTTATTACTAATGGTTTTGATATTTTATGTATGTTGCTTCATCCTATATTAAAGATGCAATGACTAGTTTAGGGAACAAGTTGGGGCATAAAATTGGCCTTTGTGTGATGCTGGAAACCCATGTTTATGAGTGAGAAGGGGCCTTGAAGATTACAAACATTTACAAATAAGTACAAGATATTTGAGACATGGGCTTTGGGTAGGGGTTGAGGAAACTGGGCTCCAGCAGAATAAAGAAAATCAAGGGCACTGTTATCTCTGGACAGCCCCCCTGAATGTGCCCTCTGCACATGCACACACACACACACACACACACACAAATGCTGGGTCTGAGGCAAAAGAAAAATCAATGTCAGAAACTTTTATATGGTCACAGTTCAAACTATATAGCAAAAGTCACTAAATTTATTTTTTTGTTCAATCTTTTTTCTGTTTTTTTTTTCTTTAAAAGGAAGATCTTATCTATAGTCTCTGATGACATCCAAGGAAACATTTAAACACACAAAAACCCTTGGCTCAGAAACTTACAGATCCAGGGAGACGACAGAGCCATTCAGCCACATCCAGGCACCGTGTTCTGCACTGTAGGTGGCTCCAATCCAGTAATAGTAATGATTAAGCTTCATAAAATGCTGCTCAGATACAGAAACAAATTAACCTAGTTTAAATATACATTGAATGACCTTTTATTAAGTTAGTGTCCAGCATTAGATTCAGCCTTCATCAAACACACTGAAGTCATGTTTAACGTTTGGTTTAGGAGGTAGGGATGGCTCTCCCATGTCCCACTCACTTATAAATAACGACACATGATCTCACATTTAGGCAAAAAGAAAAAAGTTATAGAGTTTGTATTTTCATGGACTGCTTCCTCCTCAGGAGAGCAGTATTGAAATTGATTCTACATCAGTGTCTTAAAGGGTGAATTTTGTGGGTATAATCTTCACTCCCTATATTCAGCTCAGATTCTACATGGGGTTAGAAAAATATTTCACTTTTTAAAGAATTGGAATTTTTTTGTGATGATACATTTGTATGCATTCCTGGTCACAAACTGATGACAAAATACTAAGAGTTACACAATAAATTATAAAATCAAATAACTAAAATTTTAATTATTTAGTTTTTTTTTTTTCAAGTAAACCTAGTGAATCTTCTTTGAAATCTCTCTAAAACATGTCTGGCATTCCATTCGATATTTGTCTTGAATTTTATCCAGTTAACATACATCTTTGACAACTTTCATGTAGCTCTTATCATGGTTATTTGAAGTTATAGGATATTATAAAATCACTAGCTTAGAATAATTATCCAGTATGATCTAATTTAAAATGAAATCAAATTATTCAGCTTACTAACTTATCAATTTTTCCTAGATCTAAAAACATATAGGAAAACATAATTAAATACATGCCAATTCATCTTTGTTATGCATCTGAAGCAGAGTGGAATTCTGAGAGGCACAAATCTCCCTACTTTCATTCCAAGTTCTTGATTCACTGGAAATGAAGTAACAGTTGCATCGATGGCCGATCCATCTTTCTGGGCAAGAACGGTATCCAGAGTCTAAGAGAAAGATAAAACATAACTGTTGATTGGAGATTGTTTTTCAGTTTTCCTTACCCATTCTAAAATTATTTTAAGTTTTTGTCTCTACAAATTTTTTGAAAATCTATCAAAGCATATATTTGAATATTCTAGATATAGCTAAAAATGTTTCTTTTCTGTTGAATCTGCTATTCTTTTTATTCTAGGAATAACTAATTCTAGGAATAAGTTATATCTTAGTTTTTTTTTTTTTAAGGTTTTATTTATTCCTCATAGAACTGGGATGAGGCCCAGGGGTTGGAGGATGATAAGTGCCAGTGAGGAGCAAAAAAGGAGGATCTACTGGACTACACTGCTCAGGGAAGCAGCGGGGGAGAGAGGCGATATCTGCTGTGCCACGTGTGTCAGCTCCCTGGTGGGAATCAAACTCATATCAGTGGGCTTTCCTGATGTAGCCCTGAGGTTTAACCCACAGGCCTCCAGGGAGGCCACAATCCTAAAGATCTTTAAAGAAAGAAGGTATTGTAGCGTATTTCATATGTTGGGAGAATTCTGATATACACACTGGGTCTTTGATCTTATAAAAGAAGATGCATAAAACAATTAGCTTGAAGTCTCATCTCAGAGTTCACACTGTTGTGTCCTGAGCATTTCCTGTCCTTCTTTACGAAAGTCCTCATGTGTGGTAGGCACTCAAATCCTTGCAAAATGAAGGGTGCTGACATGTGGTTACAATGTGGGGGGCCATTGCAGTGGTAAGGAACAAGGAAATGATGGTTAAAAGATAATACACTTCTTGTTAGCACAAAATAGCGCTCAAATACTTCAAAATAAAATTCCAGTAAAATACTGCATGAAAAAAAAAATATTGCATGAGTAAGTTCTAAGGATCTAGTACCCAGTATTGTGAAAGTAACATTTCTCTATTTTATACTTGTGTTTATCAAAAAAGAGTAGATTTAATGGTCTCAACACAAAGAGCTATGCCATTTATGTAATGGAATGAAGGTGTTAGCTAGTAACAATATCAGCATATTGCAGAATGTCATCAAATGAACACTTAAGCTCAGACATGCTCTATGTCAGTGTATTGCAATTAATTAGGAAAAATTGATGGTAAAAAATATAAATCTGAAGAGAGATGAGGTCACAAAAGATTTTGAGAAAACTTGAAAAACATTTGGATCTTATGCATTGAAGATTAAACCGGCTCACTGGATAAGATTCAGATATGCTGAAATCTGTACACTAAATTCTGAGTCAAAAGATGCAGGATCAAAAATTAAAGAAATATAGACATGGCTTATGAGCAACACGGCCAGTTGTTTCAGACTAGTTGGATTTATACTGTAATTTAATATTTTGAATTTTTACTTAAATGTGAACACTCATGCATGAGAACTTTCATTTCAAGTTAATATTTCCCTTAACATTTAAGTGTATAATTACATAAATTCAATGTAAATTCATAATTTCTACACTAGAGAATAATCAAATGAGACTATCTTACAGTTAGTAGTCAATTTGTATAACTAGATTATAATATTTCATCCTGAGTTTGTACTAAAAAAAAAAAAAGAAGCTAAGAAGCTGCCTATTTATATTTACAAGATTTCCAAACATGGAACCAACCTTTCTGGATTTCAGTGCTATATCCTGGAGAGATTGTTGGTACAGTACTAGGCTTATGAAATGCTGTAAGAAATGATAGCAATTATTAGATACAATTTTGTAAAATAATCTGTCAGTAAATGAAACATTGATTATTAAATATTTTCTCACAAGATTTTAACTTTATATGGACTTGTCTAGAAAAACTTACATTGTTTCAACACAATTCCCAGGATAGCCATCAACAAAAGACACGTTACTCCTAAAATCCCTGTAATCCACCTCCATATAGTGGTCTGAGGAACTGTAGAGAAAGAGAGGTAGGGTGAAGTCTTCAAAGGAAAACATTAGAGAAAGTCTTAAATGCAGAAGCTATTAGGGGATAATTCAAAGTTTTTTTTTTTTAATTGGTAATCTGATTGCCTTGTCAATGAAATATTGGAAAATGAAGACAATCCATTGAAACTCCCAGTAATACCAAAATTGATTCTGTGAGATTATTCATGCTTTTTCCTCTATCGATCCCTTTTAATAGTATAGACCTCTCAATAAGTTTTTGGAGGGGAGGTAAAGAAAGACGGGGATCTGAGCAAAAAGAGATTGACAGATACAAAGTTCTGCTTGTAGACTTAAATAGTGGACACTAACTTATTTTCTCAGAGTAAGAGGTATCATTCCCAGTAGGCAGTTAAGGAAAAATAAGTATATTTAATAATGCCATATATTCCAGTTATCAAAACTGCCAGGTATCCAAACAGAAGTAAAATTACTTAGTCTGGTCCCTAAGTCTTCCCTGCAACAAAGCCATATTGTGAAAATGCGTCCTGGCACTGTCCTGCCTACTCTCAAGGCAGAACCTGCTAGAGAAGTGTCAGGTTGCTCATATTCTACAGACATTGAATAGGAATGAAATATGTTTGATGAATGCACCCCCCCACCCCCCAGCAAATACAGGTATGAATCCCTGGGACCTGCATTTCTGTTACATAATTTGAATGATGAAACATAAGCAATCATAGTTCAAGTGATTGCATTTTCTCATACCCAAATTTACTTTTTTTGCAGGCATTTCCCTTAAAAGAAATGAACATTAGAGGATTGCATAATCATTGGTACACTCCCTAAGTATATTGTCTTATACAGTCTAGTTTGTTAACTATTAATTCAGCTGACTTTGGGATGTCAACATAAAATGAGAAGTTTTTATAAATTTGTCAGTGTGCTGGCATTAACATTTAAAAATCCCTAATTATTTCTATTTTCAAATAGTGTTGTTGGTAAAGCAGTCCCGTAAATAATTAGTGTTGTTCCTGTCGAAACCTTCAACATCTTGGAAAAACTTCATAAAACAATTTTTATAATGAAGGATAATTAAAAAATAAAAATCAAAGGAAAATACTGACATATATGACATTGAAAATCCTCACTACCATAACCAGTCCTGTCTTGAAATGACAAATATCCGATACATATATGTTCTTGCTGTTTCCATTTTCCAGTTGCATAACAAGGAGCTGCACGTACCTGCCATGCAGAGGGTGCTCCAGGTCGACGTGGGGAAGGCTCGGTTTTGCCAGAAGATCTGGGTCTGAGCATGGACTCAGACGGCTGCTTAGGAACCCCAAAGTTGTGTAAGAGAGTCAAAAGAAGAATGGAAATTGTGCATTGAAGCAGTGTTCTCGAATCACCTACTGACTGGTGAGATGGATGAACAGTACTAACACAGAAGCAGCAAAATCACGAGCTCTAAATGTTCCGGTACCACAATACAGGAAACTCTCACTCTACCTGCACAGCGACTCCCTTTGTTTATGATAAACGTAGGTCACAGGGAGGTTTTGGCTTCTTTGTTTGTTTTTTTAATGTTTGAACACCACACAATTAAAAAAATATATATATTTGGGGGAGTAGAGGTAACAGACAACATAAATGTATGGATCAGTATAATAAAATTCCACAAATAGTTTTTCTTTTCTTTTTTAATAATCAGAAGCATTTAATATTTACATTGTACTATACACTGACTAAAACATTTAGCATATATTAGCTCACTAATTTCTGAGCCTGACTTAATAAAGATACATAATCATCCTCATTTTACTAAGCGTTATAAAACTCGGCAACAACTCAAGGTGACTTATGTTTGAAAACAGGCAGTGATCTCCAGACACATGCAATGTATTTTAAGTCAATCCTCTCTGTCTGGATACTTTATGGGTATTTCTTTTCTTTAGCACAGAGTAGTAGGTATCTCCCTGTCTCATTCTGTGATGCTGTTTCCTGCCTCCTTCACTCAGCTCAGGAAGGTGAAGGTCAAAGAGGTAGAAAGAAAGTGACTTCCCATTACTGTCCCATGTACACGCTCACACATACTCAAACACACACACACACTCACACTCTACAACTGCCTCAGCTGGTTTGAGTTGAAATGAGTACCTCGTTCATATTTTGAGAGGCATATAGCTAGAACAATTCTCATGTGTTCTGCATATTTCCCTCATTTTTGTAGGAGACCTCTGAGACTCTCCATTTTCTGCAGGCAGAGGAGCCTGAATACCCAGAACAGTGGCGGGTGGGCTACATACTCAGATTAACTGAAATCAACTGAGGCCCAATTTGGATGCCAGAGCGTGATCCATTTTACTGAAAGCCAAATGGATGGTCATGGTTATCCCAAGGGAATTTTGAGACACTAATCTTCTAGAAGGATGAATATTAGAAAATTGTGGTCCCTTCAAAAATTTTCTGTCTCTCTATTTTTTCATGTAGGGTTTTATGAGTAAATATCACTGATCTACATATTTTGGTTCACTTTGAAGCACAATGTATTTAAGAGTGAATTTTTCATGTGCCAGCATAGTCAATGAAGAAACACATTCAGGGGTGTGGGTCACAGATCAAATACAGAATCAGCAGGAAATAAAGTTTTCAAGATGAGAAATGTCTTCCATGAGCATTTTTTTGAAAACATTTATTACATAATTTTTTTCTGAATCTATCAACACTTAAGTGGGAAGAAGATTTTGTTAAATAATATATTTTATTTTGTTAAATAATGCTCTTAACTCATTCAGAAGGGAAAGCATCCTGTGGCATCTTTCTGATCAATATGCCGGATTGAGTTTATAACTGCCCGATAAAATTGCAATACCCACAACTGTCACATAGTATGTTCTCTTTCACTGAAGGCTGAATGAACTTCAATAAGAGGGCTGACAGTTACTTGTGACATAAAAGCAAAGGAAAATGAAGACAATTTGTGCTAACAACAAAGAATAAACACATTGTCCACTGCTCTGTGCCTTTTTTTTTTTTTAATTACTAAAATCTTATCTATCTAAGCACATGCTAAAAACAGGACATTGGCACAGAACAGTCACATTTCATCAATTTCGCATGCAGGCATTTACTTGTATGTGTGTTTTCACAGAGTTTAACAAAATTTATAATGACCATCACATAATCCCTGCTTTTATATTGTATAAAAATATTACCAACAATTTTAATTTTACACTGATTAAGTTGTTAAAGAAAAGGCAAGATAAAGACGCCTTTCCTTTGCTTACCAGTTTTGTTTTTTGTATCGGTTCCTTTTAAGAGAATTTCAACCCTTGCTAAGTACAAATTATAGCCTATGTTGCATTAAGTGTGTATGCTTTATAACCCCAGTTAGGTATTTTGGCTTCCACTACTAATTGGAATACAGCAGAAATTCTGGTCTGAGCAATACTGTCTTTAGTGAGAACATCACAGAAGTATGACTCTTCTAGAAAGTCTGACTTTTGCCTCATTCTGCATAGCCTAATCTTAGGGTTCAAACCCCTGACATTATTTCAGATTGAGCAGGCAGCTTCTAAAAGTAATTCATTATCACTGACCCCTGGTGATTAACCGGGGATTGATCTTTACACAGCTGGCCTTCTGAGGAGAGAGGATCAGCTGTGCTCCCAACAAATCAGGAGTGATTTACAACCAGTGGGCATGCTCACACTCCTCTTACTTGATGCATTTTTTAAAATTGATGTCAACAAGTTACCCAATATTTATGAAATTATATTATGGATTTAGTAAACTACATTGTTGCTTTAACAGATAGGCTTATCATTTTACAGTTGCAATTTTATTGGGCAGTTATAAACTCAATCAGGCATATTGATCAGAAAGATGCCACAGGATGCTTTCCCTTCTGAATGAGTTGAGAGCATCAAAACACTGTCTCTCAGCAGGAGAAATACAGAGGTACATTTTAAAACCAAAATAACAAATGCAGGAAAAGCTCATTCAGCCTTCAGTGAAAGAGAACATACTATGTGACAGTTGTGAGTATGTTGAGATCTTTCTTGAAAACTCCTCACAGCTACTTTATAAAGTGAGATCTGTGCCCAGAAACAGAAGTACCCAAACAGTGATGAACTAGACTGTAACTTTTTTTTTTTTTTGTAAAAGTTGGCACTCTCCTGTGTATGGTAAGGTAAGTTTTCTGGAGCCAAGCAGACATATATCCTGTTTCCGAATGACTCAATTTTAGCTCTTCCTCTAACATCTCTTGTCACTCACAAGTGCATCACATGGGCTGAAGCGAGAACCTCACACCCGAGCAGAGAGCTGGCTGGCTACACTGTGGCCTCTGAGGCCTGGTAGCTGGAAACATCGTCTCTGTGGTGAGTGTTGTGGGCCTTTGGGTTTTCACACTGAACTGAAGGCCCTGAGGTGATACATTGGTCACTTCTTGATGTCTAAACTTAGGTGTTTTACTAATTGTCACTGAAATGGCACTGAGCCTTTTTATTGACCTTAAAGCAAAAACCTTCCATTATAAAGCTCTGTGGTCTCTGTGGATCTAGCAGAGAAGTAGAATTTCTTGGAAAGAATTGTAATATGTACCTAAGCAGGATGCTCACAGATGAGCAAAACTGTCAGTCTGGAGAAGTCCCCTTCCAACTTTTGCACTGAGCTCTTCCTCAGCGAGGGTCCCTTTACACATCCCCTCGCTGTCCATAGATAGGAAGATGATACATACACAGACAGACAGACACAATGAAAGACAGATAGGGAAACATACATAAAATGCAATTTCTTTAAAATCTTGACATACAGTAATTTAGGTAAAAGGTATACATCAATCGTGGATACTACTTTTTCAGGCATGTTTGATTTTGAAATTATGCCAAAAATTAAAGCAAGCTAACAAAAAGCAGTCACACGAGGTCTTTTTCTCTTTTATACTCCATCTAAGACATCATTAAATGTGGTTTGTATATATGTAGGAATACACATATATGCATATGAGCGTGTCTGTACCTGGCTCTGTATCTCAGGCATCATTTCTTATCACCTCCATTGCTCTGAGACTCCAGATTTGAGAAAATGCAAAAGTTTGATTCTATATGAATACTTAACTGACTAAATGTGTGCTATTAAATGTATGGCAGGGATAGCAATTCATTTTAGTATTTATTTAGAGGAGCTGTGCTTCTTTGGAGTCTAGAGCAATGGCATGTGGGCCCAGGTCACCTGGCATCTGGTGGCCCCATGTGCGACTGTGAAAGGGAAGCAGCAGGAGGCTTTTTCTCTTCTGGGTCATTTTGGGAAACTCAAGGATTGAGCGTAACCTGAAGATGTCAAGTTCCTTCAGTCCTTCAGCCTTGTTTTCTCTGCCCTTCCTGACCCCAGAGCTGTCACTCCATACTACCCCACCCACCAACTCCATGGTTTAATCTGTCTGCCCTCCAGCACAAGGCTTTCTCGCTTGCTGCTTGTTTCTCTCCAAAGTACTCATACTTCTAGACCCCAGTTTTCTTATGCTCACACAGATATTAATTTCTCAGATGAATATATAGTCAGATAGATACGACTATATGAGTAACATCTCCACTAACTTTTCTGTCTCATCCAGGTCTTTGTCACGCTCTTTGATACTTCTCATTTCCCAGTTTGTAAGAACTTATTTCCTCTGTGTTGAGAATTTATCACTGTGGCGACTAAAGTCAGTTCTCCCTCTAGTTCAAGCCCCAGCACAGCAGCCACAGCTCTTTGACTTGTACTTACAGCTGAGTGCTTGATCACTGGCAGGAAACTTCCTTCTTGGTGAGTCATTCAGTGGGAGTTATTTTCCATTCAGTGGGAGTTATTCAAACTCTTTGTAACTATGTGACTAATAAAGTTTAAGTATTTCCTGGCTTTATAGAAATGTATTTAACCATTAACTTGTCTTCTCAAGTGCATATTTTATTTTCTGTTTTTGGAAATTTTGTCTTCTTTTCTTTGAAGGATTTACTTATTTATGCATACAGAGCCGGGGCATGGGCCAGAGGTGCCAGGGTGGTGAGAAGCTTCACCAGGGACAGAGTGGGGAGCAGAACAGGCAGATTGAGGAAGTACACTGCAGAGGGGAGTAGTGGGTAGGTAGAGAGGTCTGCTGTGCCATGTGGGTCACCTCCAGGGCTGAAGTGACTTTAATTCTTAGTGCTGTGGTTTAGACCACTGCACCACCAGATAGGGCCCAATTTTATCTTCTTACCCTAATTGTTCATTTTCCCCAAAGATACCATATGAGACAGAAAGAAGACTGAAATTATAAATAGCTGATTGTGTGTGCAAATATAGTGACAAGATTTACTTTGAAAGTACTGGAAGATCTGAACATCTTAAAATTGCTTAATACCTCCATCCCAGTTTGGATAGTTTTATTTCACATTTCAGTTCCAATAATGTTCTTTCAAATTACTGATTTCCTTCGTATTATTCCCAATGTTACTAAGATGGTCTTTATTCTATTTCTATTGTACATATTGTGAATTAAAATTGAAGAATACTATATGGACTTTATTGAATAAAAGCATCATTTTTAGGTAAGTAAATATTTCACATAGTTCGTGATTAGCACACTGGGAAATCGTAGATGTTCCTCTTTTTTTCCACTCTTATTAAATTGTCTTCTTGCAGGTACAATAGCCATCATTTTGGCACTCCTCAGCAATTATGTAGCCATATTTTATATGGGTGCATTTATTGCCAGTTTTAGCATGTTGTAGAATTTGAGAGCTGGAATAGAAAAAATTTCCAATACATGCTAAATTTTCAGTACATACCACCTGCATGTAAAATGTATAATATTATTATCAACTTAAAAAAGCAGAAATACCACTTTTCTAGTTCATCAACATTAGAAATGTTAAATATAGGGACTCTCCCTAGTGGTACAATGGGTTAAAGTGCAGCACTATGGAGCTATTGCAGCCACTGAAGCATGAGTTCAATTCCCAGTCAGGGAGGTGACCCACATGGCACAGCAGGCTTCTCCTGACCTGCCTGCTGCTCCCCTCAGCAGTGTACTTCTGTACATCAACCTGTTATGCTCCCTACTCTCTCTCTGGTGAATGATCACCCACATCTTTGGCCTGTACCCTAGTTCTGTATGCATAAATGAGTAAAGTCAATTCTCCCTATAGTTTCAGACCCATTTTTTATTTTTATTTATTTTTTAAAATATTTATCTATTATGCATACAGAACTGGGGTACAGGCCAGAGTTTCAGGAGGAGTTGAGAGGATTCACCAGAGACAGAGTGGGGAGCAGAACAGGCAGATTGACAAAGTACACTGCTGAGGGGAGCAACGGGCAAGACAGGAGAGGTCTGCAGTGTTATGTAGATCATCTCCAGGACCGAGGATCAAACTCTCACTGAAGCATCTGCAGCTGGCTTGCAATGCTGTGCTTTAACCCCACACCACCAGGGAAGTCCCCCTATTCTTAAAAAAAAAAAAGTGTTAACTATATTATGTCATCAAAATTTATTAATACATTTTGAATTTATGGTACTATTGTCTTGAATTCTGAATATAATCTCCATGACCTCAGACATTTTCAGATTATCTGACAATTTCCCATGGGTTCATAAACTGTCTTTTATACATTGTATTAAGATAAAAAATGTTTATATAGCATAACAATTTTTTTTCTGATCACGAATAATTAAAATTCAAAGTACAGTTTTTACCAGTGTCTATGATGTTAACAACTGCTCTCCAAGCCTTTCCACTAACACCAAAACCAACATTATATACTCTTGAATCTTGTACAAATGTATATTCAATAATTTTCAATAAATTGCTGAATGTTAATACCTCATAAGCAATAAAACTTTCATAAATGAGTTACGAAAGTTAAACATTTGACCTAGTCCAGTAATCTTTCATTTCCTTTGTTCCATTTGTTGTATACTTTCCTGATTGATTTATGATGGATGTATTTGTTATAGATCTATTATCTGTCCCTATGCAGAGTGATTATTATTTAGACTGGAAAGAAAATAAAAATCTGTTTTGGAATGACTTACCTGTCTTGGGTAAAATCGGTACCATCAAGCCAAAACCACTTTGATTGTGTGCTGTTGTAGTATAAACTGATAAAAAGTTTTCGATCAATGTCACATTGCCTCTTCCCCAATTTCACCAAAAAGTTCTGCAGAAAGAAGTAAATAAATCTGAAAGTAGCACTTTACCTAAGAAAGAGGAGCACATTATTTAAATATCTTTCATGTATAGACTTCCCTTTACACACTCTGCTCTATTTAATGAAAAGAGTGGACTGTGACTTCTTTAGGCATATGCTTCTATGTCAACTGTGGTTATTGAATTGTTTAGTCGCGAGCAAATAACAATTTTGTGTTCACTATATTTTAGCTATTCCCTTTGGTTACGGGTTGTACAATTGAGCAATAAGCCTCATAAGCTGTGATCATTTACATTAAGCATGAGAGAGCAAGAGAGAACATGTGATAAGAAGTGATGCATCACACCAGATTGATGCTAGATCAAGGAAGAAGATATATTGTAACCGGGTTTTAACAGGTCAGTAAGATCAGAAGGGAAGATCAGAGCATTTTTTGAGTGATTGTTTCTAAGTTAAAATCTTAGAAAGGGGGGTGCACTACCCAAAAGAAGACATTGAAGTGAGAGGTGGAACAGGTAAAATGTGTCACAGACACTTGACACAATTTGAGAAACAAAGACAAGAAAGAGCACAGAGTCCTTTACGGATCTAAAGAAGTTCATGACCTTGAGCCCAGGCAGGGCAAGCACTCTAGGGCAGTTGCTGGGGTCTGTGATGACCATGGAGGCCAGGGAACAGGTAAGTGTTGGGTAAAACCAATGAACAGGTTACTTGTACTTTATCCTAAGAACTGAGAAAAGCCACATAAGTACTCTTAAAGTAACATTCGAAGTTACAGTCAAAGTGTAAGGATTCCTGTGACTGTCTATAGAACATGTGGAAGAATATCAGCCTTTTTGAAAGACTGCTGTCCTTTTTAAATTTTCTGCAATAAATTCAAAACATTTAGGAAATAATCTTTGACACAAGCTATGCAACGGCTATTGTCTGACAGATTCCGGATAGCTCGGGAAAAGCTCTGAAATATCAGAATTTCCACTGCTAACTTATGTTATGAACTCCCTTTTTTGTATAATATCGTAATATCAAAAAATATTGTAGCAACATCAGTTTGTAACTGGCTTGCCTTAGCTCTAAATTGGCTACCTGGCCTGGGCAAAGTACAAGCTGAGCTGCTCCTGGGCAGGAAATTCATGTGGAAGAATATCAGCCTTTTTGAAAGACTGCTGTCCTTTTTAAATTTTCTGCAATAAATTCAAAACATTTAGGAAATACATCTTGTTTTTACCATTTCATCTTCAGTATCTGCTTTAACAAATGATGAGTTTAAATCAGTGCAAAAACCATCACATTCTTTCCAAAGAGCTTTCTTCCTTGAGATATAATAGCACCTTTCTCCATGCTGGCGCCAGTCATTGGGACAAGTAAGACATTTCTGATCTATTAAAAGAGACAGAATATAACTGAGCCCCACTGTCAGTGCAAGGTTACACAGCAAATCTACCCTCTCCATACAAATAAACTTATTTCATTTATTTAAGCTTAGATTTATGTTACATTAATAGCCCATCTCATTAAATACACTGTGGACTTCAAGATTAACTAAGAGCATAAGAGAGTTTTTCATTGAGTTTTTTTTTTAAGATTTATTTATTTATGCATACAATACTGGGGTACAGGCCAGAAGTATGGAGTGCAGGTGAGAGGCTTCACCAGGGACAGAGTGGGGCGCAGAACAGGAGGATCTACTGGAATACACTGTTAAGGGGGCAGCGAGTAAGACAAGAGAGGTCTGCTGTGCCATGTGGGTTACTACTCCCACCTGGGATTGCACCCACAGCTGCAGCTAGCTTCGTGGTACTGCACTTTAACCTGTGGCACCACCAGGGAGGTCCTGGTTTTTAACCACAAAATTAGAAATATGTCAGGAAACAAGATATCACATTGCTATTACCATTGATGATAAAAATGTTTTAAAAGATACAAAGGGCACCAAATGGAGTCCTGGATCTTGCAGGATCCTGACCCCACTCGACTTAAAATGTAAACTAATTATAGTTTCCTCTTCTTCCTAAAGTGAATTCTAGACCCATCAACCATAGTCTCTTGCTCAGCAGTGGAGAGGTCTCTGTATGATTAACCCTCCCTCTCTTCTCTGGAGGGAAGATGGCTTTGCCTGAAGTGCTCTTTCTGACTATGAAGGTTTTCTACTTGCTAGCTGGTGTGCTGTGTGATTCAGGGCTTGCTTAATACCAATTACAAATCTCACTTAATCTAATGACTTTTTTTTTTAAAAGAAAAACCTGGGGTACAGGCCAGAGGTGCAGGGGCCGTGAGAGGATTCACCAGAGACAGAGTGGGGAGCAGAACAGGCAAAATGACCTAAATACACTGCTGAGGGGAGCAGCGGGCGGGTCAGGAGAGGTCTGCTGTGCCAGGTAGGGCCCCTCCCAGAGAGGCCTGGGATCCAACTTGGACTAAAGTGTCTGTGGCTAGCTTCCAAGTGCTGCACTTCAAAACTTGCACCTCCAGGGAGGGCCCTAATGAATTTACTTTTTAATAAATGTCGACATGTTCTGCATGTTTATTTTCTTAAGTCTATAGTAAAAAAAAAAAAAAAAGATGATGAGATAAACATAAATAAAAACCTAATTAGAGGACCCTCCCTGGTGGCACAGCGGGTTAAAGCACAGCACTAAGAAGCTAAAGCCACTTCCGCATGAGTTTGATTCCTGCCTGCCACGGAGGTGACCACATGGCGAGGCAGACCTCTCCTGACCCGCCCGCTGCTCCCCTCAGCAGTGTACTTCATCAGTCAGCCTGTTATACTCCCCACTCTGTCTCTGGTGAATCTTCTCACCACCCCTGCACCTCTGGTCTGTATTCCAGTTCTGTATGCACAAATAAATAAATCTTAAAAAATAAAAAAATAAAAATAAATAAATAAATAAATAAATGAATAAATAGAAATCTATGTAAACTGGTGATGTCCCATAAAAATATTTCATTCAAACATAGTTTGACATTTGATAGCATGTCGTTACAGATGACTGGTCTCAGATAGCATTGATATGTTTGTGTCCCCCCTATTTCTTGGAATACCCCCCTTGTTTGCAGGGTTGTCTTCTTGCATTCCAACGAAAAGAGATTCAAAAGCAGTTGTTAAAGAAAGCAAGCTGGTGCCCACTGGTCTCTGCCTCAGCGCTGACTCTTTCCCCTCCCCCTTACAGACCTTTGCCCATTCCCCTTTTGTTTTACTCCTTTGTTTAAATAACCCTGCACCTTGCCAAAGAGCAGCACGCTGGTCTTAAAGACACAGGTCTGCTGCCCTCCTCATTTATTAACAAACCACTTTCCTTTTCCTCAAACTCTGTTTCCTTTTATTGGCTGAGGGATACTGAGGTGGGGTTCACACTCAACTGTGGCATACTTTAGGAGCATAGGTAATGTACTAACGCCTAGATTAATGATAGTTTCAATGGAGGAAAAGAATAGGGAAGTTGGAAAAGAGGCACTCCAAGACCAGAAACCTGGCTCAGCCAGTGCAGGGAACTGGAGGTGGGTAGAAGTGAAGAGAGCTGTGAAGCTGACAGCAGAAAGGAAAAATCCCATGGCACCCAGCGCAGGCCCAGCCAGCAGGGGACGACTTTAGACAGTGTCTGGAGGTGCAGGCCTGGGAGGAGGTGAGGCTATGACCATTGAAGATGACTGTAAAAGCTCTCTCCTTTTCAAATTCCCAAAGTTAATCAAGGTTAACCAAGAAAATCCACTCCACATATGCATGAGTCCCTCCCAACGGGAAGACGATATCAGGCCAATCTCTGCCCACCTGTGTCTATGCAGGGGCTTCTTTCCCCCAAGCTTTCCTGCTTTAGAGCAGGAGCAGTGGCCCTTCTGCGTGTCTGTGCAGGAAACCCTGTCCAACTCTTCCCCTGCAGGGCAGCATGCAGGGGCTTCTCCTCACTGACTCCCACTCAGTGGAGGCCACTCTCCTCGAGGCTATGCAGGCTTCTCTCAGCAAACCTGTCCCTTTCAGGGCAGCTCTTCCTGTCCACTTGTGTCTACATAAATGTCTTTTACCCTTCTGTCATTACTTAGTAAACCTGCTCTTTATTTATTTTTTTAAAGATTTATTTATTTATGCATACAGAACTGGGGTACAGGCCAGAGGTGCAGGGGATGTGAGAGGATTCACCAAAGACAGAGTGGGGAGCAGAATAGGCAGATCTATGATGTACACTGCTGAGGGGAGCAGTAGGCAGGTCAGGAGAGGTCTGCTGTGCCATGTGGGTCACCTCCTGGATGGGGATTCAACTCACACTGATGTGGCTGCATCCAGCCTGCATTGCTGCTTCCTAACCTATAGCACCACCAGGGAAGGCTCTAAACCTGTTCTTTAAATATAACTAACATCTCTGTCATAGAGAAACTTTCCTGGAACCTTGCTGGTACCACTGAAAGGGAAGCTCTCATGAAACTTTTTCCATAGTTAAACTAAGGACCCCACACTCTACTCTTGATATCACCAAGAAAACGACTTCAGTTTCATCTTGTCCCAAAATTAAATTATAAACCAATCATTCTTAGGACCCTGCTTGGCACTAGTGAGGCCACTTGCCTGATGAGAACTCTTTCACCCTCTTTAATGAAAGGAGGTTTTGCCTGAAATAACCTTAGTTCTCTTTTGCTAATAGCCCTGTCTCAGCTTCTGTCATTAAAACCCATCCATTTTGCATAAGCACCCACAGATCCTTTCTACTTGCTAGATAGGATAATGTTCAGTACATGAATGATATAGTGGAAACAGCTAGATATTTACTTTACTTTTGTTAATTTTTTTCTTTTTTTCTTTTTTAAAGATGTATTTATTTAGGCATACAGAACTGGGGTACAGGTCAGAGGTGCAGGGGCGGTGAGAGGATTCACCAGAGACAGAGTGGGGAGCAGAACAGGCAGATTGATGAAGTAAACTGCTGAGGGGAGCAATGGGTGGGTCAGGAGAGGTCTGCCAGGCCAGGTGGTCACCTCCCGGGCAGGGATCGAACTCATGCTGAAGTGGCTTTAGCTTCTTAGTGCTGTGCTTTAACTCGCTGCACCACCAGGGAGGGCCCATTAATTTTTTTCGTTAACAATATATATGACATGAGAAACTCAGCCCTACAAGTAGATGTCACTGACATCAGTGTTCACTTGCACAGTAGTATGTATCACGCCAATCAACTCATACAAAGCAAAGTCTCTCCTCTCTCCTACCTACAAAACCATGACTCAGAGATTTCCAAAATTACCTCTTTTATTACCTGTATATCTTTGTGCATTGAATGAGTTCTGGATGACTGTTGAGAATAAGGAAGGATCACTTTTAAACTCAAAGAGAAAATATTTGGACAATCTTGTGTGTGAAACACTATACTAAGTAGAAAATACAAAAATGGTTAGTGAAATATTACTTGCATGTAAGGATTCAATGCAATAGAGATAAAATATAAAAGTCAAACAATAAATACAACAAGCTCACATAGCAGCTGATCACCAGAAGAAGGAACATCTGTTCTCACAACTGCAAATTTTTTGCCATTAAGGAAAAAATAAGTAAAAAGGAAATAAAGGACCTCAAGTTTCTTCAGGCAATTAGATAAATGGGAATTTTCTATAACCTGTCACCAGAGCATAAATATTATTCTCGCTCTCTCCAGAGTTGATGTTTTCATACTACAGTCAA